CCGGACGCGGGCGGCCGCCGCACTTGTCCCACCGCCGCCCCTCGTCGCGGGCGGGTTGCGCGCGAGCGGGCGGGCGGCTGGAGCGGCCCAGCTCGGCGCCGGCGGCGTCGCAAGGCATGATGATAGAGCGGCCGCGGGCGGCGCGGCGGGCGGGCCCCGCGGTGATCCTGGAGGGGCGGCCCATCTCGGGGAACACTGCGTCGCCGGACTCCAGCCTCAGCCTGAGCGCGGGGGCGGCCGCCATGGAAACCGGGCAGAAGCGGGGGCGGGCGGTGCGCACCGGGAAGAGCGTGCTCAGCTTCCTGGAGAGTCTGCCGCCCGCACCAGGTGAGCAGGCGCAGACTTCGGATCAAAGTTGTGCGGCCGTGGCTTGAAGGTTGTAGATGACTTTGGCGGAAAGTCCACCACAGACTGTCGCCTGGTGTAGGGCCAAAATCTGTCCTTCTTTGAGACTGCAGGAGTCACGTGAAAGGAACTCAAAAGGCACTTCTGTCACAATTGCCGATGCCTTTGCAAACAAGCGTAGATAGTGAAATAGGTGCTTCTTGCCTACTTTTTTGATGCGTCTTGGCACGTCGAAATCATTTCTAAACACTCCGGAAAACGACAGAACAGACGTTGAACCTCATGCACTTCGGTCCAAAGCCCACCCGTCGTTTGTAACTTTTGTGTGGATTGTTGGATTTTCATGACATGTGAAGGACATTAGGAGGTCAGGGATGATTTGATTCTGGAGCTGTCAATTCTTGGAGTGTCGGCGGTTGAAGATCGGGTTGTTTGCAAGTTTGCATCGCCTCGGGACACATTGAGAAACTTGCAGGCAATCCCGGACACACTCTCCCGCATGCTTCGGTGATTTTAAAGACCGCGTGCCCCGTTGTCAATCGCATCATTTCAGAACGGAGTCTAGTATTAAAACCATTCGTGAAACCTGCCGCTTGCAGGTGATGAGTCGGTTGCAATGACTTGAAAAGACCTGCCAAGCTTTCGATTCTTAACACCTTCTGAGTCCATTTCTGTGTTTGTAGGAGTCCCCATCAAGCGTGTTCACTTGTGTTTCCCACTGTCTCGCAGACCCCGAGTCGCCGCCTCGTCGTCGTCGCGGCCGCACCCGCCCGCCGTCGTCCCCTGGTGCTCTAAGCGGCGGCGGCGCGTCCTTCCCGGGCGGGGTGCTGGGGCGGGCCTCGTCGGGCGGTGACGGCGAGGCGGGCCCGTTCTCTGCCAGCAAGGACCAGAAGCTGGCCATGCAGCGCTTCCTGCAGCAGCGCAAAGCGGACAAGGACGCCGCGCGCGCGCGCGCGGCGGAGCAGGCGGAGCACCCGCACGACCTGCGGCCCGACCTGGCGCCGCTGCACATGCCCGCGCGCAGGATGGTGCACTACGGCGCGCCCTTCGCGGGGGGCGCGCCCGCGGCCGCGGCGGCCGAGTTCCCGACGGGCCCGTTCACACAGCTGCTGCTGCACGAGGGCAGCCCGATGGACGTGCGACACGAGGGGGGGGGGGCCGACAGCCGCGACGCCGCGCTCGCGGGAGGCATGGTGAGAGAAACAGGACAGGCGACGGTAGTAGATCTCGCCGTTCAAACAACCAAAACCTACAGTATCCGCAAGAACGGCATGCTTGGCGTACCCCCGGCGTACCGTTGATCCTTGAGATAGAGTAGTGGCTTCGTCCTCTGGCTGCTGCGTGTCTTCCTGACGAGGCACGCTCGCGGCGCGTGTGCAGCTGGGCGCGGCGGTGCAGGGCGTGGTGGACGGCGTGCTGGACATGGGCTACCGCATCACAGCGCACGCGGGGGGGCACGTCTTCCGGGGCTGCCTCTTCGCGAACGTGAGGCCCGCCGCTACGCCGGGCCGTCCCCCAAAGTCTGGGCACCCACGACCTTGTTTCAAATGTTTCCTTTAGCGCCAAGCGGACTTCGTCTCGTTCTGCGTTTCATGCTTGCCGCTGTGTGTGTATCCTGCCGCCGCCGTGGCCTCTGAGCCCCGCTCTCCGCAGGTCCTGCCTGGCGCCCCCAAGGACCCTTCCGATGCCCCGATGTACGCTCCCGCGGGCCACGC